GCTCCGAGCTTAACTCTTTCTCTCTTCAATGGCGACCGACCGAGATTTCTCGCCTTCGACCCACATGCAATACTTCACAGACGACGACGATAGCGAATCAGACGACGATCGAGAAGACGAAGACGATCAGCAAGACGACATTAACGGAGAAGAACCCAGGGAGGAAGAAGACAGTTCACGCGGTTTAAAAGGCGCGTATTTAATGTGCGGCCCGGGTCGGCGGCGAGGAAGCGGAGGTTGGTCTCTTGGGCAAGTTCTCGACCCACGAGCCAAATGGGTTCAGGAATGGAATAGGGTTTTTCTCCTGGTATGCGCCACGGGTCTTTTCGTCGACCCGCTATTCTTCTACGCGCTCTCTATAAGCGACACGTGCATGTGCCTCTTCGTCGACGGCTGGTTCGCCATCACCGTGACGGCGCTCCGGTGCATGACCGACGCTTTGCATCTCTGGAACATGTGGTTGCATCTGAAAATGACCAAGGGGTCCTCTTTCGTCCCCCCCACAAACGGGCCCCGCGAAGATAGTGATGAAACGGCGGATAGAACCGCCGGGAAACCTCGCTCAGATGCCATCCGGTACTTGAAAGCAAAGAAAGGATTCTTCTTTGATCTCTTCGTCATCCTCCCATTACCTCAGGTACTGCTCAGAATTCCACCTTTAATTCAATAATTTTAAATTCGTCACATAATTACATATCGACAGTAGCCAGCTGCTGCTGCTGTTATCATTACCGAGAAGTTCATCACTAAGATTAATTACTTAAACAGGTTTAATCAATTAATGTAAGATAATTACAAGTAAGGTGATGGTATATGATTTTTATATGACGAAGGATTTTTTATTTTTATTTTTTCAAAAAAAAAAAAAAGAAGAAAAAGGATTGGAAGGTAGTGTTATTTGGGGGAAGGTGACAAGTGCATGTCATGAGTTGTTTTTTGCATGCAGAGATAAAACCGGGCTATAGCTTTTGTAAGCGCAGCAAGCATGTGATGAAACCGTGTCGTTTTTGTATTGGGAGGGGTAAAATGGTAAATTTAATGGTATATGTACAAATTTTTGGTCATAAGATGGTTTTCGAGATATTCCATTTATATTGACCTTCTTCTTTTTTGAATCGTATATATAAATATATATATATATTTGTGAATTTATTTAAAGTTATTATAAATTAATTCCTTCAAAAATTTGCTTAATTTATATAATCATTGCTTAATTTTGAAATCAAAATTTGCATTAAGTATAACCTTGATGATAATTGAAGTTTTATTTTTATTTTACTAAAATTAAATTCATAAATTAGATAAATATTAAAGCATTATTCACTTTGTATATGATAAAAGTTTCTCATACATCAAATAATTACATGTATATATGTATGTGAGTGTATGTTTATTAGGATCATAATTATTAGGATCTTTTGGTACGCTTGTACCATCTACATTAACCATTCAATATATATGTAATGTATTTTATATAATTTATACACAGTTCAATTAAAATTGACGAGAGGCATGCTATAAAATAATTAAAAAAAAATTGAATTTATACAAAAAAATTTAGATGGAGGTAATTTTTATAAGAATAAAGTATTTAATTAATAGATTAATCTTTTTACTCAATTTTTTGAATAATTAATTATTTACTATTTAATATTGTATCAGAGTAAGAGTTATATTTTAATTATAATTTTTTAATTATTTGAAGTTTAGAATTTTTATAATCTTATAAGAAGTAAATTCTAAATTCCGTAAAAATTACATTTTCGTTTCGAACACAAATATATCGTTAATCAATTAACTCATTAATTAGAACCATCATTTTTATTTGCTAGTATATATCTCAATAATTATATATATATAGTTATTGATAGATTAATTATATCGAATATTAATTAAAAAGTTGATTATAGTGTTATTAGTGTGTAATTCATCATTAAAAAATATATATTTTTATTAAAAGTTTATAATTTATTGCAAATTATTCAATCTAGTAGTAAGTATATCTATCTCTCAACCTCATTTATAAAGCAAACTTGGAGTCCCATCTATGCATTAGCATGTCAACTATGTGGAAACCACGAATTGGACATGCATGCAGGTATATTATATCATGGAATGTGCTATTATATATATATATATATATATATATATACATATAGATATGATGCTACATTTCAAGAGTTTAGCATCTTCAAATCTTTATTTACTTACATACACAAAGCAGATAATCACAAATTAGGAGACTATCAATTATGAAAATGATGATTTTCAGGTTGTATTGTGGGTGATAATTCCTTCATTGCTCGAAAAAGGATCGGTAACCCTTGTGATGACAGTACTCTTAATTATGTTTCTGTTTCAATATCTTCCGAAAATTTATCACTCCGTTTGTCTTCTCCGACGCATGCAAAATCTCTCCGGCTACATCTTTGGAACTGTTTGGTGGGGAATTGCCCTTAACATGATTGCTTATTTCGTCGCATCACATGTAAGTTAATTGCTCTTACACTACATTTGCTTTAAAAATAGCATAAATTTTAATTTCGACTCGATAATACTAATTTTGTTTTGGAAACATTCAGCGCTAAAGTCACTGAATGGATAAGTCGCTAATTCCTACTGTGTAATGTACTTTATCTGCTGGGTTTATGAGGGACATTTTAACAGAGATTGAATTCTATAAATTTTTTTATAATACATTATCTTGTGGTTTAAATATTGGTTAAATTTAATATTTCTTAAAATTATCTTGAATTATTCATTTCCAAACATTAAGAACCACGTGTTTCAGGTTTCTTAATGTATGGAAAAAAGTTTTCTAGAAAATGGCCGGCAAAAGTATTATTATCATCAGTAATTAAGGGAAAATTGTTGAAGGAGAAAGAGTACTGAAATCTGTAGGATCTCAAATACTATTTATTCTTGGCTCAAGATTCTGTTGAAAATAGTAATTTACGTATACATGTATGTGGGTGTGCAGGCAGCAGGAGCATGTTGGTACCTGCTGGGGATTCAAAGGGCTGCAAAGTGCTTAAGAGAGCAATGCAGAATGGACATTAGAGGCGGGTGTGAGCTGAGATTATTGTCTTGTAAAGAACCCATTTACTATGGAACTACAAGTATGCTGATGAGGGATAGAGAAAGACTGGCATGGGCAGAGAACAAACAAGCCAGAACTACTTGCATTCAGTCCTCTGATAATTATGATTATGGAGCTTATAAATGGACTGTTCAACTTGTCACTAATGATAGCCGCTTGGAGAAAATCCTCTTCCCCATCTTCTGGGGACTAATGACTCTCAGGTACCCCCCCTTCTCTGTCTCCCTCTCTCTCTCTCTCTCTCTCTCTCTCTCTCTATTATATATATATATATAGATCCCTTTCTCTTCATATATATATATATATATATATATATATATAGACTCACACAAACACATGTATCTATAAGACGAATCTTTCTCTTCATATACAAGACGAATCTTTTCATAAAACCATGTATAAATATGTTTTTGAGATTTAGTGTTTGTTTTCTTCACCGTATAATGGAAAAGGTTTAGTCATTTCGTAAAAGCTGCCGATGCATATAAACATATGTATAGGCGGTTTCCTGATATGTATATATAGGCCTGGCCTACGTGCATGGCTTCTTATATCTGCACTGAAATCATCTTTCTTTTAAATCATTGTACTGATATATATTATTTGCTATAGTATTCTTACCACGCTTTCTCTCCATAATTATTACAAACTAGACTGGTTTAGATTTACCAAAATAATTGCTATTTTTATTCGTACTCATGGAATTATTGCCTCAAATTTTACTGGTCATTTAATATTTCATCATTAGGAACTTAATTATATAAATTTCTTTATTAATAGAATTGATCATATTATTATTATTATTATTATTATTATATGACATTTAGATATATAAATTTTTATTTTAAAAATTTTGAATTTAATTATTATTATTATAGTTGATTTTTGTCTTTATTTATTTTTATTGCAGTACTTTTGGGAACTTGGAGAGCACAACAGAATGGCTAGAAGTAGTTTTTAATATTATTGTTCTAACCAGCGGACTCCTTCTGGTCACCATGTTGATAGGAAATATTAAGGTACATGTATATGTATATATACACCACACTAAGATTTTGTTTGGTAACAGATTTAAAAATAAAAAACTTTTAAAAAGTAAAAAGGGTGTTGTAAGATCCCTGGCTAGCTACAATAAATGTTGGGTTTGACTAAGGCCCATTACCCCACACTATCATTAACAATCAGTGTTTTTATTATTACTGGGAAAATGAATTAGAATAATTAGTAGTAATCCATAGTTTCTGCTCTTATATATCTCTAATCATGAACGTTCATATATATATATATATATAGTGTGTGTGTGTGTGTGTGTGTGAAAATGATGAGTGAGGACTGATCTGATGAGACCCTTTTAACTTGTAAATGTGAAGGTGTTTTTGCACGCAACAACATCAAAAAAGCAAGCAATGCAGCTGAAAATGAGAAACATAGAGTGGTGGATGAGAAAGAGACACTTACCTCAGGGATTCAGGCAGCGAGTCCGCAACTATGAGCGGCAGAGGTGGGCGGCCATGCGCGGCGTCGACGAGTGTGAGATGATCAGAAACCTCCCCGAGGGTCTCCGCAGGGACATCAAGTACCATCTCTGCCTTGATCTTGTCAGACAGGTAAGATTTTAACTTAACATTTTCTTTCTCTTCATTTTTTGGTGGAGGAGAATAATGAGAGAGGAGAGGAGAGGTGTTCTTGGAGAAAGATGGTACGAGAAAAAAGAAAGAAAGAAAGAAATTGACATTCTTGTCTTATTCTAATAATTTTGAAAAACTGGCCTATTTAGTCATGTGCAGAGTTTGAAGAAATTAGTCTATCTTTTATCTTTTAGGTCCATGTAAGAACAGTTTAGCTATGGAATAAGGGTCTTGTGACTCCAGCAAATTTGTGTTTCATTTATTTTCCTCTTTTATTTGTTTGAAAAATCGCTCCCTAAAAGTGTCTAAATTCATGGTATGCTGTATCCTTTCATATATGTTTAGGTTCCATTGTTTCAACACATGGATGATTTGGTCTTGGAGAACATATGTGATCGAGTGAAATCCCTCATATTCACCAAAGGAGAAACGGTGAGTTATAAATTTTTACTCACAACTTCAATTTTATATAGAAAAGACTGTGATTTGTATACTTACAAGTTACTCGAATATTCAGATAACTAGAGAGGGTGATCCTGTACAAAGAATGTTATTTGTTGTAAGAGGACATTTACAAAGCAGTCAAGTTCTTAGAGATGGTGTCAAAAGTTGCTGCATGTTAGGTCCGGGAAATTTCAGTGGAGACGAGCTGCTATCATGGTGTCTAAGAAGACCCTTCATTGAAAGATTGCCACCATCTTCATCAACCCTAGTCACTCTTGAAACCACCGAGGCTTTCGGCTTAGAAGCTGAGGATGTAAAATATGTTACACAACATTTTCGATACACATTTGTGAACGAAAAAGTCAAGAGGAGCGCACGATATTACTCGCCTGGATGGAGAACTTGGGCAGCTGTGGCAATTCAATTAGCCTGGAGGAGATACAGACACAGGCTAACACTTACTTCGTTGTCGTTTATTAGGCCTAGGAGACCCTTGTCAAGATGTTCTTCCTTGGGAGAGGATAGACTCAGACTTTATACAGCTATGTTAACTTCTCCAAAGCCAAATCAAGATGATTTTGATTTTTGAAACTGTTTGAGAGTGTATTCTTTGATATATATTTATAACATGTTTGTGAAAATAAGAATATGTTTGTGTTTGTCAATAAACGATTTGACGAAGAAAACTATAAATTGTTACCATTACTAGTTATTAGTAGTTATCTAATGTACGTTGTCTTCTGATATGAAAATGAAATTATAATACTTATCGATAAAGATTTGCTTATCGAGAAGAGAATTTATTCTCAAAGTAGGATACTTATTCTTTGCCTAATCTCAAGAAGAATATTATCTCATCTAATTCGTATTCTCAACTCTAGATTTGTGTAGTTTCTGGTGTTGATTTCACTTATCCGAAATGAACCACAACATCACGAACTCATTTTCGTAAGATAAATTTCTTGGGGAGGATAGATTAATTCACCAATTTCTGTGGACAAGCTTTCTTCACATTGAGAATTAGATACTAAATGTGTTCAAATATCATTTCTGTTCGATTCATATTAAACAGGAAGATTCCTAAAGAATCTGATGCTCTTCTTTTCAATATACGTTTTTCTTTAAGAAGCTTCCCAAATGACTCCAATGGCTGACATAAAAAGTTTCCTGCAAGCAATGTTTCTCTTTTTCTTTTTTTCTTTTAAGATCTTTTGTAGTTTTGAGCAAAGTAGAACTGCACATCTCTGCCATTTCAGCCTGGTAAATACAGGACATCGGACCCATCCAAGGATTTACAAAATGATCAAGGTAAGAAAAAATAAGAGAATTGTAAGAAGAAAGAGTGAAAAAAGAAACATCAATTATGCTTTCACAATAGTTTCTAAGGTATCGAACTCATCGTCTTCCTCGGGCTCTGAGGTCGAGCCTGCAGAGCCCTTGAAGAGCAAAATTGCAAGGCTACCAACGCAAAAATAGATGAAGCAGCCACTGCAATGTGTCACAAATGAACCGAAATCAGTCCCCACAATACACTGCCATCCTGCTCCCCACGTCCTGTCAAATTCCTGAATAAAACACAATTATATCACGATAAGAAAGCAGTAAATCTGCAAGAAAAACTTGCGTGTCCCAAGAAATAGTTGGTAAATTTACAAACTGATGTTGAGTTATTTACTCTGTTGAATTCCTGGACAAAACACAATTATATTATTATAAGAAAACAGAAAATCCTCAACAGAAATTTGCTGAGTGTTACAAACAATGGGTAAATTTTGAAAACTGTCGCTATTATTATTTAATCATTTCGAATTCCTGAACAGAATATCGCTATATCACTGAAAAAGCAAATCTGTGACAACGCTGGCAACAGTCTGAAACTGTTGGGTAAAACGTCGCTGAATTATTTAATTGGCTGCATAAATAATTTTCATACCTTTTTTATGAAGCGAGCAATTTCAGTTGCCTCCGTGATGTCGAAATAATCAAGAGCTTTTGCTGCTAAATCAAGCGCATCTTGCTGCATAGTTTGCAGCATATCGGTCTCGCCAATCACAGCCTTCCCTTCTAACATTGCTACTAAGTTTTAATTGATTTACAGAAGCTGTTCTAAGAGACAGTTTAAGAGCTTGTAGCAGTAGTAATCAGCTGCTGCTCTACACACACACACACATATATATGTCATATATCATATGTATGGATATGTTTATATGAGGAAAATGAAGTGAGGTAATGGGATATTGTATAAGGTGATGGTGGAGGTTATACAAGGTTTGGTGGAATAAAGGGGGTGGTGCTAGTGTGTCAATCACGTATAGATCCTGTTCTTGTGGCTGCCAGACATTACAAAGGAATTATGGTCAGCCTCTAGTGAACCCTTTTGTCCACCAAGAGTAATTATACAATAACCACTGGAATTTGTAACATGAAAAGTTAATATTCCATTTTTTAGGGTTCTTGAATTCATGTCCCTAGTACTACTAGTTTGCAACTTCAATTGTTGTAACGATTCCGGAAATTCAAAAATAAATATATAATAATTTAAGTACGGACGCGAAATAAAAAGTTAAGATTTACATCTTTTACACAATAACTTAAAAATACTAAACAAACATAACGTAATGAATTCTCAGAAAAAAACACGAGAAATAAGAAAAATAAAGGAAAATATAAAGTATCTACCATCTATTTGCAGTTTTCTTGCGGATCGGGCTCGGGAACTAAGTCCTCTTGATCTGAAATGGTTAAATAAGGAATGAGCTACACTACCCCAACAAGAACATCACACTATATCACCGTCACATAAGCAAAAGTTGGAAGAAAATTAAAACAACCAATGGAGCAGTAGATTTAAACCGATACAGTTATTTAAAATAAAATCATTTAACTTTTTACTTAACATTGGGGAATTTATGAAAACAAATTATATAAGTAATAATATCATACATATCATAACTTCATGCACGACCAGCAACATAGAACATATCATAAATTCATATTCATTCACAATAAACTAAATCATAACTGTTTCTCGTTTTACCAGCCTACTAGTATCCATAGAGATCCATAGAAGTGTCTCTGCTACACGTGAACTCTTTCCCTTAACAGTCTTAATTGCATAGCCAACCCCATACCCTGTCCAGTATGAGCGCCAAGATATTAAACCTCAATACCCCGTCCAGTATGAGGGTGAAGTGGGCCGTCCTCATACTTCGTCTGGTATGAGCGCCAAATGACTAAGTCTCCATACCTCGTCCAGTATGAGACGACGTTCACGGTAGGGTTCCCTATGAATCCGATCCGTCCACCATCTCTTACGATATCTAGTGAGGCTGTTATTTTATCTATTTATCATATCACACCCCTTTCCTGTTTTTCCTTAGTCTCCGTTACCAAATCAAATATAAATACATAAACAAGTAAACATGCATCCGACAATACAATCATATCTTAGATCCCAAAATCAAACAGTGGTCAAGTAAGTCAGTAATACATGCATTTAAACCATACAATATATAAACCAGAAACTATCATGCTTTTACACTGTAAGATCAATCAACAGAAATCAGTAGAGAATAATGTCCGGTTTGGGCTCCATTACCAATCCGTAATTAATTATACACATCTATTTAATTTGTACAAAATACAATATCATCATTTATTTAAACTTCAATTTCATAATAGGAAATAAGGTGAGGGATCCTTAGTTGATTTAACACTGAAAAGCTAAATGGCTTACTGCACCTACAGGCAGTGCCTAGGTTTCTTGAATTTTTTTCTTCGAAAACTGAAACGCGCTTACAGTACCTACAAATGTCTCAAATAACCCAAAAATCAGACTCAGTGCCTACTCGGCCAATTTCAAAAATCTGGCATGGCGGCTCCGCCGTGTTCTAGCGACAAACAGCGGTGATCCACCTCGGGTTGACTGTTTTTGGCCGTTTTCGGCCGAATTCAGCCAAACTTGCATCATTTCTTGTGAAAAAACACACTTAGGGCCCTCGGTTGGCCGAAAAAACGTAAAAAATTGAAACTTACCGGCGGCAGGGCTCTATAGTGCGGCAGCTCCTCCGGCTCATATTGCGGTTGGGTGTTTTACTCCGGTCAACCTGTAGAGAAGGAAACGGTGATCACAACGGTGAAAAAATCACATCGAACGGGAATCGAGAAGGGCCTCATCGGAGGCATTTTCTGAAATACTCTGCGCTGCCGCCGCCGCCAGTCTTCAGCCGCGTTTTTTGGCTAATTGACTGGTTCTTTCACTACGATTTGGCTATGGATAGGTTTAAAATTAAATTTCGTGCAAGATGGAAAATTTTTATCTTTTTTAGCGGTCGAAAAAGGTTCCAGTACAGCGGCAGGTGGCAGCGGTCAGCTCCCCGATGAGTGGGCTGTCTTCTCCAGCGCGGTGCTCTGGCGGCTAGGGTTAGGGTTTGGGTATGGATGATGTTATTTATACTCATCCACTTTTGATCTGGGTCGTCCATCGCTTTTGATCTGAACCTTCTAATCGCTATTAAATAGGGAGTGAATCTGGGCCGTTCATCGCGATTCAATCTGGACCGTCCGTGCGCGATTCAATCTGGGTCGTCCATGCACGCGAAAATAGATCTCAGCCGTTCAATCGCGCGCACGCGGATCGCCCACGTGGCCTCCCGTGTCAACGCCTCTGCCACCTGGCACGTCCTGATTGGTCGGGACTGCTGACCGGGCATCCCCATAACCCAAATTACGTTTTAACCTCTAATTTCCGATTTTTCTTTTAAAAATATCCCCATAACTCAAATTTTATTCTTTTTTTTTTCTAAAATTATTTTCAATTAAATCTTCAACTAATATTTTATTTTTTTATTATTATTTTCATTAAATTAAATTAAATTAAAATAAACTAAATTAAATTCAATTAACAAATAATTATATATATATATATAAATAAATAAAAAATTAATGTTGGGTGTTACAGTTGTTTTGGGATAATAAAGTAGACCCATCATCTCCCCTTCATTTCTAAAAGGATACAATTGCAACTTTGCCTCTGCATGACTGGATCCACTCACAAGCATGTATGGATGAAGAGGTACCTCCAGGTAGAGAATTGGGAAACAAGGATGTGTGGTCCTATCCAATCGGCGAACGACACTTGTTTCTGCAGAATTTTTGGTAGGATGAGATTGATGGTGCTACCTCCTCCACCAGAATACTCTGTGATACTTGAAAGTTTTGATTTGATTCAAATCAAATATTTTGTGATTATTTATGATAATTAAATATACAGGAATTTTGTAGTCTGCTACAGCCCAAGTTTTGCATATGCAATCAGATGATAAACCCTAAGGATACCCCAGAAGTTTCTTTCAGGATTGAATTGTGCATGTCATGTGTGTTCGAGTTCCTAAAGTTGTATTCATATTTATATATAACTAATAAAATTAAATTTTTGATTAAAGAAAATTTGATATTAGTAAGCAGCCCATTCTGGGTTGGGCTTAATAGGTTTGGACCTAGCCCAATCAAACAATGAGATTTCCAAAAATGTTACTTACAATACACATATATATATATTATATAAATTTTATTTAATTTATAATTTTTAATAAAAATACATAAGTTGTATATACCCATTTATTTATTTAATCCTCTCTCTCACTCTCTCTCTATATATATATAAATATATGGCACGATATATATATATATATGTATAGGTATAATAGTGTGCTGTAAATCAGTAGGTTGTGCCACCCTTTTCTCTATGTTAAGATTCCTTGTCAACCTAAAATGTTTGAGGATGGGTTTAGTTTTTCTTGGTGACCTTCCTGACATCCAACCAAACCTCTACCGTCACCACCTGTCACCCACATCGTGTCGGCAAAGCAACAATCTCCAATCACATATCGCCACCTGTCCTTCTCTTTCATTATTTTTTAAAACGTCAAAAATTAAATAAATCAACCTGCATCTTCCCCGCCTCGTTTCTCTCTTCACCGTCAAAATCAACACCTCTTCTTCCCCTCGCTTCTCTGACTCTGAATCTGTCGCCTTTCACCCTTCGCGTATTTACATACACTACACCACAGATATTTTGGGTTCTCTCTCTTTCGTTTCATCACCGCCAGCGTCATCATCGCCGACGTCCGGCAACCATTTAGGCGACGAGGTCGACCAGGCAGCTCAAATGGCCCGCCGTCTCTTCGCCTGTTTTGGAAAAGGAAGCTCGTTCATGTTATCGCCGGCGAGGACGGAGAAAGGAAGTACGGCGGCGGTGGAGACCGGTGCCGGCGAGGGACCCGTGCTGGTGGAGCTTTTCTCATCTCAAGGATGCGTGACGTCGCCGGAAGCGGAGATGTTGTTGTCGAGAGTTGGCCGGGGTGACTTCCAGCTGGAAGTTCCGGTGGTGGTGCTGGCTTTCCATGTCGATTACTGGGACTACATGGGTTGGAAAGATCCGTACGGGTCGAGCCAGTGGACCGTCCGGCAAAAAGCGTACGTCGAAGCGTTGAAGCTCGACACCATGTTCACGCCGCAGGTGGTGGTTCAGGGTAGAGCTCAGTGCGTCGGGAACGAAGAGGAGCCGCTTCTTCAGACCATAAAAGATGCGCCAAGATTCCCTCCTCCAACTTTCCAGGTACATTTGTTTAAACAATCCCAAAACAGGGGATCTCCCTTTTTCTCATCTTCATCCTCAGAACCCTAACGCAAAACCGGCATTGACGATGAGCAGGCGACCTTCCACAGACCCACATCGGAGGCGCTACAAATTTCGTTAACCGGAGCGCTGAGGATAAAAATCGATAGCGCCGGAGCCAATGTGATGGTAGCATTGTACGAGAGTGGACTGGTGAATGACTGTCCGAAAGGAGAGAACAAAGGTCGTGTTCTCTCCAATGACTTCGTCGTCAGAAAGGTCGAAAAGCTCTGCGCCGTCAAAGACATTTCGCCGAAGAAGACGGTTACCGGCACCGTTCATTTCACACTCTGGGATGGTTTCAACACCACCAAGTGCGGTGTTGTTGTGTTCGTCCAAAACTCGTCACATCAAATCTTCGGTTCCCAGAACTTCAAAATACCAGATGATATATGAGTTTATGATTGTACGATCTATGGTGACAATCGTGGTTTTCTTTGGTTAGGAATTTATGTATGTATAGGCTGTTTTTCTTTTTATATATCTTCTAAAATTTTTTAAAAAACAATTTTTTTTTTTTTATTAATGTTGATGGATTTATTTTTAATTAGGTATATGGAGAGACAGATTGGATTGATGGAATGAGTTTTCGTTCTCTTTTGTTTTTTTGGTGGGGAGTTCATATTTGGAAATCTGGGTATTGAAATTGTGTGATGCATCTGGTTTTTATGTTGTGAGAAGAAGAATTGAAAATGGCGATAATAATTGCAGTTCATGCACTTCCTTAGTTTCACTTCTGCACGTTCTCGTACTCTCTATATATAATATTATTATATAAATATATATCAAACAGAGAGAGTAGAAGAAAGGAGTTCAATTGGGTCCCCAGCAATTCAAGTAGAAGACCCTGTTCATGGACTCTTCTGTGTTCGGGATCTGGTGAAATGGATTTTGAGTCCTCCAAGTGCAGCCCCTAACGAAGTAATAATAACGCAGGCCTTATTCTCAGCAATTGCCACATACAAATATATATATATATATATATAGTATAAGAGATACACATGAATGTGTATACATATATACGTATAAACATGAAGGGATAGTTGACAAACAGGGCGAGCAAATTACATAAACCACCGGCCAAAACTGCGGGTATGTTCTTTTTCCAGTGGATGAAATTCTTCTGTTCAAGGTTATATAGATGTCTTTGTTTGTGTGTGTGTGTATATATGTATGTATGTATGTATGTATATGTATGTATATCGTAATCAATCAATTTAAGTGAAGAATATGTTGGAATGCAATGTAAGTGAATCATGAGTACTTTTTTGAGTTAGTAGGCTGATGGTTTTGCGCGACACAACTGGCTAAATGAATCAAGTACTAATGCTTTGCCCTCTCTCTATATTTTTTTATTTTATTCTTATATTTTAATTCTTTAATATAAATAATTAACAAATTTAAATAAATGTCGCGTTTACGAAATTTTCTTTTTTTTTTTTTCCTCTCATAAAGCAATTAATAACAATATTTTATTTTTGTGTCATTTTTATGCCACTATTTTATAAGTGTATATTTGTAACAAGAATAAAAAATATTAAAATTAATTTATAAAAATAAAATTTTATTTTAAAACACATGCATTGTCATATTAATTTTATTTTTTAAAAAAAAATTAAGAAATGTGATGATGGCAACTATGGATCCTCTTTTTATATATAATAAATACTTCAAATTATATTTTTTATCTCTAATTTATTTAGAATTAAATGAAATTAATCAAGAGATGGTATTGATTACAAACCCTAGTGGTTAGAATGTATAAATATATATATATATATATTCAAGCATCCATCATTCTAGAGACTGGATTCAAATTGAGGATTTGGGGATTTAAATTAAAATCAGAGCAGAAAAAAGAAGAAATTCAAAATACCAAACGGACAGAATGAATACACACAGATTTATACAAGAATCGTTTCAGTCCTGTGCATTTAAGGTTAAACTCATGACACCAAAACACACAGATTTACACTACGGGGGGATTTCATGAGGGGTACGTTCTCGGCCAAATGTTATACGTCAAGAAAATAAGAGCTGCAAACCTGAACACCAAAACCCATGAATTCTAACCACTAGGGTTTGCAAATAAGCTCGTTGCCCATAAAATCTTTGGCTTATTTTTCAAAATGAAGTAAAATCCATCCTCTACAGGTATACACTCAGCCCAAACTCTGGTTCACCTTGACTTTCACATTCGTATGTTGGGAAATAATTGCTTCAAGATACGATCCTTCTTTTTAAATAACATCCCGGGCTGCCAATTTATCTTTCTACTTTCCCTCACTACAAAACCCGGACTGAGGTACTCATACTAGAAAGTTTCTGTTTGGGCAGAGAAAAAGCACTGAGAACAGGAGCTAGCAGCATTTTTTTACACAGAATCTACGGCTTCAACTTGTTGACGAGCCAGGTACTTCTCCCTCCGTTCTTTCTGAAAAATACAACATGAATAGGCAAAGATGCGTTAAAAGACTGGGGAAAGTTCTAAAAGCTTAGTATTCGTGCAATAGCAGAGACAATGAGATGAAGAAATACCCATTCATCTATCACAAGACCCTCCCCAACAACACGGGGACCTGTGTCTGGTGGAGGCTTCTTGCGTGCTTCAACGGCAGCCTCAGCTTCTGCTAACTGACGTTTCAGTTTCTCCAGGGCCTAGAAAATGGAAAAGAAACCACAATGATGCACATCCAGAACATGTGAAGAAAACCATCCAAACTTCCACCATAATTTGAAGCTTACAGGACTTGGGCGTGCCACATCTAGAAATACCACACGCAAAATCCTCTCAACTGTTACTTGATCCTTTTGCTCATCGAACTGCAAAGAAAAATAATCAAACTTATGTTAGACTATGCTCTTACACCAATATGATATAACTAAGTAGGACGAGGAGAGAAACATGCAGCAGATGTGCGCAAAGAGATACTTACAGCTATCTGAACAATCTAGTTAAAGAATTCAAGCTGGTTAGGAGTTAGTTACTTCTCTTGGCTCTAGCTATTTCACCACAAGTTTTATTTATAACAACTAACAAATGACGATTTAACACTTTCTCAGTCTAAAATCATGAGTACTAAGCATTTTAATATTTTTTTTATGCTCTTTGCTTCTCACAAAATCATCTTAGAGATGGAAACAGAAACTTAAATGTTGAAATGTTTAAAATCTTGTTTTCATCCTTGCCATGCTAGGAAATTGGTTCGAAGAAAAAGAAAGCTTCTGCCAGAATGTAAATAATAGATTAATGGACCAGTTCTTATAGACTTTAGATATTGAATAATTTGGCTACTAGTAATTATTTCACAACTTCAATTTTTTTAATTACACAAACAGTTTGACCACCCATTATTCACTCAAACCCAAAAGAATAGCCAACCACATTCATGTTTCCAAGATTCCCAAAAGGAATTAGAATGGGGGAAAAAAAAAAGCATTGGGAATGAGTCAGGGCTAAATGGACAAAACTCCAGCCTCCTTCCTGATTATTTATCCACATGGACAACCTAATTGCTTTCTGCAGGCTAAGGGAATGACTCAGAAACCACATGCTACAAAAAGCCTCCCAAACCCAAACCTAACTAAAATAACTGCTCCCCATACATTATGCTCACAAACACAAACACCTGATAAGTCCCTGTAACTAAAGAGTGCAAAATCTCTCAATTATGATCTTGACAGTTCCAATGAACTAAATGTCAGTTCTACAAATAGGTGCTCTGCTTAGGAATGGCCAAAACTAGCAAACTCCCTCCAATTCTTACTATTAAAAGGAAATTCTCATTACAGGATTTTCCAGACTGGAAAGAATTACGAAAACGTCAATATAGCAAGAATAAATAGTTTACTTTACCAGCTCAGGGACATAATCTATTCCAGCTTTCACCTTAAGACTCATTATCTTAAACTTAACCTTGCTCTTCTGGTCTAATTGCTGCTTTTCATTGTTCTCTGGATGTTCCACGAACTTGAACACTGTCCATATGAAAAAATTATTTATATATATATATATATATCTTATTAGAAATTTCAACAAGTTTGAAGTAAAAGGTTAATATGTGTATCAACAGAAATCCATTACCAGTCGCAATAATGCTCTCTCCAGGAGCCAGGATACCCCCAGGAGGACGCATGTAACAACTTTTTGGTGCTGTAGTTTGAAACTGAACCAGAGAAACCAAAGTAAACAGTGAGATGAAAGAATGAAATTAACTTCAACTCTGTAATTTGTCAAAGTAAAATCTTTTGATACGTGGAAAATATTAAAATCACAAACAGAACCACCTTTTTTTAAGTGTCAAATACATCCACGCTATCTATCAAAGTAAAATATTTTGATACGTGGAAAACATCAAAATCACAAACAAGACCACCTTTTTAATAAGTGCCAAAACAAATTCACGCTCCATAACAGGAATCTTCTTTACTAAAACAAATAAGTTGACATCTAAAATAAACATTGCTGCAGAATGGCTTAAGCTTAAATTGCTCAAGAATTATAATTTCTAACACATTAGGCAATTCGAACTTAAATCGTTCTGCATCAAATATTACTGCTTAAAAATTGTGCATTGTCATGGGGCATATCAATAACTCAAGCAAAAATTCATAATTACCTTAAATGCAACATGAGACTTGCTAGTATTTTTCAACCCGATGGCGCTCCTCACCTGCTTACCAGGTTCATCTGCAAAATGTGCATAAAGCACACATAAAGTGAAAAACCAAAGCTTATAAGAAAAAAAGATACAGCTTCAATTGCATTTTCTTTCGTAAAAATCACGCATACAACAACACTTGAATTAGCATTGCAAATGAAATGTTTAGCATCTTCTAACCCGTATCTTTGCCTCCAAGAACAGAAAAACCACAAAAATTTCGTTTTCATGAACAATCAAAACGGACGGTAATTACTAAACCAAATAATGCCAAATAACGGAATAAGTAAAAGTAAACTCAAATTACAAAGAAATACTCTAATGTCAACAAAAGGATATCAGCCAAGAAATTCTCGAAATTGAACAAAATAACTCAAAGGTCAACGCAAGCCAATAAACGACGACGTACAGGGGAAATAGAGATTGCTAGAAGGATCGAGCCGGAGCCTACGGCGAGGAGGAAAGAGCGATCTGGCCACAGACGACATCGTTAAAGAAGAAGACGGCCTGGAGCTGCCAGGAACTTCCCCGTGGCGCCTGCTATTACCAGGGTGACTATGATGCAGGTTCTGCGTAGAAGACGAAGACCAGGAATTATTTCCTGTTTGCCAAAACGAACACAACCTAAACAGCTTCATATCTCTATGCGACTTGTGGCGGTCGGCTGCAATTGCCATCGGCCACCGGAATATCAGTTCACCGGCGATTCAATCTCCGTCCCTCTCTCTAGTCTTCTTTTTCTCTACCTTGAGAATTGAAATGAAGTGTCGCTTTTTATTTTTAATTAATTTTTTTTTTTTTTCAATTTCCGTGTGCTTACTCTCTCTTCGATGGAGTGTAGTGGCAACAGCTTGCAAGGATGTTGTAGAGAGGGGGGGGGGGGGGGTTCTCGTCACGAGTTTAAACACGTACCGGAATTCACAAGTCAATTTACACGCGACTCGTTACTGTTTTTAAATCCGCGCTGCTATACTGTTGTACGTTGACGTAACTTGAATCCTCAAGGAGGGTAGTTTTGTCTAAAAGGTACAACATCTCAAAGCGATAAATTTTGATATGGATATCTGAAAATGCGCGTGTTGGTGACGGTCGAATAGGAGACTGCCCGGGTCAGGAAGGTAACACGTTGGGACGATTCTGATTGGTTGAACCAAATATTTATTATAATTTTATTACGTTTAAAATAATTTAATATTTAATTAGTTACTGACTTGTGGGGTCAACCGGTTGAATGGGAGTCGTTGGATTAGATGGAGAGAAAATCGACGGCGAGGAAGGAGTTCGCGTGGGGGGGGAGACGTAGTGGGAAGCGCGTAATTGGTTTGTTTACGTGAGTAAGGGAATTAATGATGTTCAGGGGAATTAGGTAAGGTTATTCGTACGGCATTTACAATTGTCGGCTGGGTTTGTTGGCGTGGGTTAGTTGGGATGTTAGAAATTTAATTAGGTGAATGATGACAATCCTGTGAGCTAAATTAGACAATTATCTTCTTCTTAATTATCTCTTAAACCAGATTTTAAGAATAAATGGGTTGTCACTAATTAATCTTTTCCTTACATAATCTTTGAAAACATATGATATGTCAGATTATTATAACCATAAATTTAATTGAATTATAGATTATATTTTATTAATTTTAGTAATTATAATGAATTAAATTTTTAATTTTTACATTTTTTATTAAAAAAATTAAAACTAAAATTAACGAGAATGTTATGATGAATGTAAACCATATTAATGTAATAATTAAAGTATTAATGCCCATAATTAGTAATCATACATTTTTTATTTACAGTAAGGGTTGGCAAAAAGTTGTAGAAAAACAATAAAAGCCTTAGATTAGCCGGCTTTTTAGTAAATAAATAAATAATATAAAAGTAGAGATTTATTAATTTCATGGCTTTAAATCAATATGTAAATAAGTTTCGGTAACTTTTTATTTTGTGCTTACAATAAATTTTTTACCGATAAATTATTTTAGTTTAAATAAACATTCCAGTTGAGTTAGCAAATTAATTTATAAAAAAAAATGCATCAAATTAAACACTCTTTTTCTTTAATTAGAAAATTATATGAATTATATAAGAAATAAAACGGACAAAATAATTAATTTAGTTTATGTACTATTTTAAAATGTTTAAATTGAGCTCTGTATTATTTTTTTTATTAATTTTTATATTTAAAAAAATTTTATTTCAGTATCTAACTGTTAATGATATAATAGAGGTGTCACATTGATCAAAATTAAATACGTGACATAATTTGATTGAACTGTTTTTAACGTTAGATATTATATGTTTCGTTACGTGGCAACTAACATGAATAAGTTTGATTTTTACAAAAAAAAATTGATTCAAAAAATAAAACCAAATTAGGTCCACCAAGTTTAATCATAAACCCCCCAAAAAAAGTCCACCTTCTCTCAAACCATCATGAACTCTCTCGTTTGCACTCTTTTACGGTGATTTTCTTTATTGTACTCCTTATAGTATTCTTTTAATGAACGGTAACAGTTGACTTGAAATCATCCCGAAATTTGTGTATCCACTCACCAACAGGTAAATTAATATGTATATCCATTAAAGGAAAAAAATATGACAAATAAGAGACGATGATGCTAGCATTGAAAAAAATATTAAAGAAAAAAAATGAGGTAGGAAATGATAGGGAGTTCTTCAACAAAATCTAACAATAATGTACATAAAAAGAATATTAAAATCTCATTGCATAAATCTAAATTTAGCATAGATTGTTTAGTGAAAAATATTAAAGAAAACAAAAATTTACAAGAAAAAAAAAATGAGTTATAAGCACATAAAATTCAATGTTGATTTTGAATAAGAATGGAAAACATAGGGACGTTACGAGGGTGATGAATGATGATGATGAGTGGCAGAGGAAATAACGAGCTTAATTTTTATAAGTCATAGTGTTCTAATGTTATTATCACTATTGTCTTATTTATTTGATTACGTCTTTAATAAAACCTCATATATTATACACATATCATAAATTAGTTTACCTGTTAATGAGATGGAGACGCAAGTTTCGGAATGACTTCAATACAGTTGTTGTCGTTCACTAGATAAAGAACCACCAGAAAGAACTTGTGGATGAGATAGCAAGGGTCGTTTTAAATGAAAAGAACTTGATTATTTGAAAAATTATTTATACACTCGATTAAGGATAAATAATTGATACTCAAAAAGAAAGAAAAATTTTAACTCGAATATGCAAGTTTCGAACCTTATTTATAAATCTATACTATACCACTTAAAATATAGAAAATTGTAAATTTTCATTGCTTTATTTAAGAAATTTCAAAAATAATTTTACAGTGAAAAAAGTCATTTCAAATTAATTTTCCCTTTGGACAAGTTATTTTCTAATAACAATAAGCCAAACGAGGTCAAAAAATTATTGATATACACATATTGTTGCTGCCCAGGATCGAACTGGGGACCTTTAGTGTGTAAGACTAACGTGATAACCACTACACCACAGCAACCGATTTGCTGATTCGAACGTTAGATATGAACTTAAATTGTTTTCTATTCTAATACATAAAACTTTTTTTTAAAAATATTATTTTAATTGTTGAATAAAAAACTTCATAAGCTACTCTTAAGTTCAATTTATTGAACTTAATTATTTTATAGATAACTATATTTACATTCATGCATTTATAATATATAAATTTAATATATAAGTTAAAAAAGTTAGTACGAATTTTTATTTGTTAGTTTATTTAATATCATTTAGAATAAACAAATTTAAACATGTTTAAACAAATCGAATATGAGTTTATAGCTTATACTAATAATTCATATTATATATTGACAAGATTTTTTGATACTACTTGCTCATTTTATCTTCTATAGTTATTATTATTATTATTATTTGACTATGCTTGATCCTATCAACTCAAGTATATAATCTACCTGAAAAATAAATATTAAGATAAATACATATTAAAATTAAATAATAATTTAAGTTTATCATTTTAATTTCAATTAATACACATCTATTTTATTTGAATTAAGCAAATTTTAAAAAATAAATTACTTGTTTAAGAAAGTATTGTTAATTATGTATGTATAATTTTTTTTGTGGGATGCTACAAAAACTTTTAAAAGAGACAAGTTGAGCGGTGGATGTAATGAAGAGAGAAAAAGCTATCAATATATTGGTAGGCCATTTTCAAAATTGATTTGGCATAGCATAGATTTGGTGAGGGCATTCATTGCTCCAATTTTATAGTTATAATAATGTAATGTATATATAGGGCATTAATTAATTTTAAGTTATATGGTAGTTGAATTCTTTATTGTGAGTATGTCTCTCTCTATATATATATATATATATATGTATACACCTTTTTATATTCCCTATTATAACTAGATAATTAATAATTTTTATTTTAAAATATATAAATTAATTAACAAATTTTATAAACACTATAACAAATTTAAAAATAAAAGGACGATACAACACAATAATATAAATAATAATAATCATTAAAAATTAAAAAATATAGTTAAAACAAGTTATTTATATTTTAAAATTTTAGTTATATTTAATTTTATATCTTTATATTAAAATAATTAAAATTAAAATATTTTATTCGACAAGAAATAATATCAATAACATTTAGCGACAAAATTGGTATTAAAGAAAAAAAAAATAATTATTTAAATAAAGAAATTATTTGGGTCCCCAGAAAACCAGGTGCATGAGAATCTCATCCTTCTCTTCCCTCCTCCGCCTCCTCCTCTTGCTTTCCTCATCACTGTTCATCTTCGACCCTTGATCATTAACACCGCCACTAGATACTCGCCACACGCCATTGTTACTTGCTGGTTCTGTCACAAGCTTCGTCTTCATTCTCTGCTGTATCGAGTTTAGTGCCACCTCAAACTTGGAAACCCTATTACCGTTGTTACCCATCCGTCACTTTGATCTCTCTCGCTTATTTCTCCGAGAAACTGAAGAGGGTGTCGGAGAACAATTTCGAAACTGGTTATGGGAAATTGAGAATGGTGGTTCTGGATGGAAGGTTGCTTTGTTTTCACTTGAGTGAAACTTGTTAGTTCTGTGTGTTGCATGGATTTATATAGATGAAAATCAGAGGACGAAGGGGGCGTAGAGGATTTATTTTTATTTTCTTTTAAAGGGAGAGAAAAAGTTGCGTTGGTTGTTTCTCGAGAAAGTGAAACAAGGTGGTTTTGGCTCCCAGATTCATGGGTAGTGGTTTTTCGTGTTGGGTTTCAGTTTTAGCTCCCAGGTTCTGGGTAGTGGTTTTTTCAAAATTCAATGGGTGAGTCAGAGCAGGAAAGGAAAAAGAAGAATGCTACCGACCGTTAACATGGCTGTTCTGGTTTTCACTGTGCAATTTCGTGCTGGTACGGATGATTTAGGCATTCGTGATGGTTTTTCACTGCGCAATTAATGTTAATCCGGTCATTAATTGAGATTTTAATTTATTAACATTAATTTATGCCATTCCCAACTTAATCTGATCATTAATTGAGATTTAATCCTATTCTGGGTTCACGAAAAACAGTATTTAATTTTGTTCTTTGTGGGTTTTGTGTTAATTGACATGTTATTTTTATATTTTTAATTAAGATTAATTAAAAATATATAGTATTATATATATAACCAAGATGTATTCTCACAAATCTTTGCCTTCTAAATCAAATCCGATCCAATTCAGTATAACAAGCAAGAAAAATTGATACATACCTACTTGTACTAATTCATTTTCTTTAATTTTTTAAAATCAAAAGTCGAGATGAATTTAAAAATGATGATTCGGATTTACCATATTATTAGTACCCGATTATCCTTGTGTCAATTTATGCTATATAATTTTATTTTATAAATCGATCTAATAAAACTTATATCATTATATGTCAATTTTATAAATTTATTTAACATGTCATTCATTTATTTTAATTAATAATGTTAAATTCTTATTAAAAAAATAATATTATTTATTACAGATATATTTCCGATATTATAAAGTAAGACAAAGAGGAGAAAATTCTCATTTTCTTACCCTATTCGGTATTTAAAGGATTGTTATTGCAAGCAAGTTAGACGCTATTACTACCTAATGCTATTTATTTCATTATAGTCGTATACTTAGTAGTAAAATATTATTTTTTATTTATATTATTAATTATAAAAATAATATTTTTGATATTAATTACTACTACTGATATTGTATGTCATTTTTATTAATATTGTCATTCTTACGTATATCATATTTTTATTATTATTATCATCACTATTGTTATAATTATTATTAACTTAATTGTTATTGTCATTATTACGATTATTATGATTATTTTGAATATAAATAAATAAAAAAGATAGTATAATCTTTTGAGGTGTCCTCCTTATTTATTTTACACATTAATAACTTACTTTATCTTGATTAATTACTTTATTTTAACCTACTTTGTTGTTAACAATAACTATCGTAACTACGAAAAAATAAAATAAATTAAAAAAAATGTATAAAAATAACATAATTATTATTTATATTATATTTCAAAAATTAATTTAATGATGATTTGTTATGATTAAAAGTCTTTTGTTTTTATTAATATTTGAGTCTATATTATTTAAAAGTTATACTTAAAACAATTGTATTAATTTTATAGTTATTATAATATATATTATTATATATATCATTTAACTCCTTTAAACTTGATGAATATCCACATTATTATTTTTTTTCTTTAGTTAATTTAGTTCTTAAACCCCATTAAATTCTATTTTTAATAACCAAAGCCTCCCTTAAATTTCTCAATATGGGCCAGGTCAACGAAGCCCATAAGTCAATGGGCCTGGCCTCACATATCAAATTCAACTGAAAGCTGTAAACTTCATATCCTTTCCGGTCTCAATCAAAATAACAGTAAGAGAAGGAACAGGCGATCTTCTTCAATACCGACCCCTGCTTATCGAGAAGCCTTTCGTCCGCCTCATCTCTTCCTCTGCGTGTTTGTGTCGTGGGAAGCGGGCCTGGTGGATTGTACACTGCCGAGAAGACTATCTATATACTTGCATTTAGTAAGCTTATTTAGGATTAAGCATGTTTGATTTCAATTTATTAGTGCAACAGACGTTGAGGACGCATTAAGGAGCGCAAGTTTATATAATCGATGGACAGCCGACACCGTTTGGATTGGTATGGCTCCGACGTCGAACCTGATCATCCTCAAACCAAGATGTGGATTTTGCTGGTACTCTTTCTGGAGATAGTTCAATCTTCCTTCTCTAGTTTTCGATAAAACGAGAAAAAAAAATGTTCTTAATTAGGTTTAATTTTACTAGAAGACTTACGACAGACTGTGTTTAATCATTCTCTGGGATGGCGCAACATAAGCGCTGCTCTTTCTTTGGGAACGTAACTCTTGGTTCAGATGTATCCCTTCCTTAAGAGCTTTACCATGTGGTAAGATAGTGCACACCTGCTCGTTTTCTGGGTTATTGACATTTTCCTTGGGTTATATGGTAATGGAACTTAATCTTTTTGGCCCATTTCTTGAAATATGGAGCAGGTTTTCCGTTGCTTATGGAGCTGAGAGTGACAGAATTGTTGGTATTCCAGGAGAGGTATGTTTAGATATCTTCATTAAGTCTTTCGTTAATTTGGTAATTAATGTTGAAATTCATTTGTATGCGTGTATTTAGGAAAATCTTGTGAACTAGAATCTATCGGGATACACTTGGCTAGGAGGATCTTTTTTGGTGGTACAATGGGCACCCAGACTGCAGAAACATGAGTCCTGATTTGAAGAGCCTGACCCAGCCATTATTCTGGGAAGGTACTCTTTTGTCGTATAAGATTGATGATGGGGTTATTATTCTGAGGATTGTTTCTTATTTCAAGTTTGATCATTTTCAAAATTAAGTTGCACAGATTAGATTAGTTTTTCGGAAATGTTCATGGCAAATTGGTAAAGTTTGTCAAGTCCCAGTACTTATTACTAGGCAACTACCGTATCACTAGGCAACTATGGCTGGTTCAAAAATAAGTGGTCCATTTTGAGATTGTCTATTACAATATCTGAATGCAAGTTTTCACTTTGTCTTTTATAACTTAAATTTGGAGATATTGGCTCGGGGAAAAATGCAGTTGATACAGCAAAATATGAGGATCACTGCCTAGGGTAATTTTTTCTGGATATGAAACTTAAAACGTGCATGAGTTTCTGTCAAAACAAAACTCCTTGGACTGGTTTTGCAAAGGCCCAGATGTAAATATTTGTTTAATCTCTTGTATGCAGTTTCTTGATATAACATAGCATAATATTAAAAGACAGAAACCTAATTTACGTCTTTGATGAACTGGTGTAAGTTCAGAATTTCGGGATGCAGAACTGAGTAACTGACTACTGGATTGCAATGTGTTCCTTCTATTTGCAGGATTGTGTTGAAAAGGATTGATTACAACTGACAAGTTAGTCCTAGTTGATGGTTTACCCTTTGATCACTTGCAAGGTACAAAAAACCTACTCTGTGCATTTATGCACAAAAATAATGATTTGGTCCATTTACTATTCAAATTAATCCAGTCTATATACTTCTAAAAATTTTTCAATTTAGTCCATCCTGTTACCAGTTATTACCACCGTTAAGTTAGGTGTCACGTGTTAAATTTTATAACACGGACACCTTTTGATTGACCCGTTTACAAGTTAAATGTCATGTCAAATGCCACATTAAGGAAAATAATAATGAGCATCTTGCATTTTGTTCATTTAACTGCTAAAAGTTTCTATCAATTCATTTGATCAATTATTCAGTTTATTTTAAGGAAAAGGCAGTGATGCGGCCAGTGTTCGGCAGCTCCCTGGGTTTAAGTCACTTCCATTTCTGCCCCATTTAAAATTATTTTCATTTTAAGTTACAAAATTATTAAAATTTATCTTTTTTACCTATATTTCTAAAGAATTTTTAGGAAACATTAAATCACATTTAGTCATAGATAGAAGTATTTACATATCTATATTAACTCAAAGAAATATGTTATGTGTGTGTGTGGGGTATAAGCTGGCAGGGGAGAAGAGCCATAGACCACTTTCATTCCATTATCTGTCGGGACGGAAATTTCCTGGCAGGGTTAGGGTGGGAAGGATAAAAACATATTTGATTATGATGAATTACCATTCCAGGTATTAAAGAAATCCAACCAGGTGCCTCTCATGGAATCCTGTTGGCTGGAACAATGATTTTCAGGACTTCATATTAATAATTTAATGGAAAAATGACTCTGTTTGATGGATGTCTATTGCATCTTTTCCAGGTGGTGGTCCCTGACATGAGGGGTCCAGTTCTCACTGATACTTCAGGAATCTGGTTGAAGATGGTGTATATATATGTGGGTAGTTGAATAGAGGGCCAACTGGAATTGTTGCTACAAATCTTTATTGTGCTGATGAAACTTTAAACCATCTCCTGCATCCTTTAGGTAGACAAATGCCCCTAGATTGCTGTCATAGTAGGATAGTTAAGAAAAACTATTAGGTGTTTTGGAGTACAAATGAATTGGAAGACTATATAAATGTGATTGATTTACTTTAAAATTTTTTGTTATATAATTTTCTAAGAATATTTGAAATGAACTAATTGCATTATGAAATTCTCAAACTTATTTGTATTTTTGAAAGTACCTAATAATCCCTCTATATCTGAATTATCTTGGTTATAGAAACTTCTAAAATTAAAAGACAGATGTTGAACTCTTGATGATTACCTCCTTGCCAATCTTGAATGGTAACTTGGTAGGTTGCTAGCATATCAGAGAACATCGGTGGCAGGGAATGTTAGCATATCAGGGGAGTGCCAGCAACTTCTTTTAGCTTGCGAAACCCTGGGAGAGAGAGACGACTCCACTTACTGGATAACAGGAATGTTAAAGTTGTCCCGTATATTACCTGGAAAAGTATTGACTCTCAAGAGAATATGCTGGGAGGTTTTCAAAACAAACCCCGAGAAAAATGAGCAACATAGGAACTGTCTGAAAGTTGCCAAAAAAAAAAATTCCTTTTTCTAGATTTCTTGGTGTGCAGAAGCAGAAAATGAGTATTTCTGCTTTCACTCAGATTGACAAGGATGAAGGAGAAATTGTCTCACATAACCTGATGGTCTTGTGTAAAATGAAAAAAAAAAATTCAAACTACAAGAACTGAATTATTACAAAATTGACTAGCTGATTTGAATTGTGATAATATCAAACTACATGGCGCAAACTTGTAATTTCTCTTTAAATTATTTTGTGCACTTAATTAGCAGCCATCAATTAGGTGATTTTTGGTTTATAAATGATTGCATGAGCTTATTTTACCCCATACCTTTAAACAGCTTGTAATTTCTCTTTAAACAGCTCGTTTTGGACATGTCCGGGCCTTTAACGTGACCATGTCAGTCCTACTTACATACCCTCATGCAGCATGCTTGTTTTGGACATACAAAGCTGCATGTTCATTTTGCTTCTGAAAAGTCAGCATGGGTAAATTGGAGGTCCAATATATTCCAAGTGATGACCAACTCGCATGTATTTTCACCAAAGGTATTCTTACTTCCTAGTGTTTTCAGGTATTGAGGTTCAATGTATGTGCATTCCCATGCTCAACTTGAGAGGAGAGGTGAGATATATGTTTGGGATTTTGCATTTCAAATTGTTGTTGTATCATCTTGTTAAGAGTACGATATATTTATGTACAGACACACACATATGTATTTTTCATATTGAAGACATCAAACACATTGAATCTATAATAAATTTATGCTCCAACAGTAATGTTCATAGGGAGTGGTATACAGTAGTCTTCTGCCTCTTCTTTGTTTTGCCTAGTTTTTTGTTCATGAGGAAAAAGTTCTGATAGTAAAATTGGCTTGTATGCCCTAAAAAGAAAATGTTCTTCTGGTATTGCAATAATATTCTTTCCTTAATTGGTCTAGTTTTCTTCCAAAAAATAATTTTGTGCGACTGCCTTCTTTATCAACTGTCTTAATTTGACAATTGGTTTCTGTAAAATTTGTTTGTAAAGTCAAATCCCACCATTTTTTTCAATGTCAAGCACTCAGAAAGTTAAAGCTGCCATCTTCAAAGCAATTCGCTGCTTAAAGTCTCCCATTATCTACTGAGTCTAGATTCTTATGCATCTTATTATTAAAGGATTGAATTTTTTGAATTCTTGGTGTCAAATCAACATGTCTCTTATTGCTCCTCAAGGATTCCAACAATAACTTCCACTTAAGAAGATTAGCATTATATATACATATATGTGTTTGTGTGTGTGTCTACTGGTATTTATAATGCCGGAAGAGGCATCCTGTTTTTGGAAATTAGAATATGATATCCACTTATTTGAATGTTTTCTTAGAACTCCTTGAAATGTTAGTATGACATGATATTTTCATGCATATATATGTGATGCGATGTGATGAAATTAGTAAGTAAATCAAACAAAAGTTAAAGGTATAAAGAATTTGGTGGTTTTATCAAGTTGATCTTCTCTGTACGAAGCAAATCTAGATTTACTTTGAAAAAATTCGGAAAATTACAACATGTTCTTTTTCAAATCCTGAATCTCAATACACTTGAATGCAACGAAATAACTTAAAGATAAGCTTTGAGATATATATTTTTTTGAATATTAAAGATAAGCTTTGAGATACATGTATACATATATACACACACGCACATATAGATGACCGTATGGATCATATATCATATGATGACAGCATATTCCATTTTTTGAGCTTGTGTGACATACATTTTCACAATCTTTTTCCAATTAATAAGGGAATCTTGAACAGGGAAAACTGGTTTTGGCTACTGACTCCTCCGCTACAAGTTATATCTGAAGCCGCAGCAGCCTTTTAAAAATGACTTTTTGCCGAGCAATTTGATGTCCACCATGAAAGTCATATCAGATGAGATCGATACTCTCGATACCTTCTTTCCTTGTTAAAACATATAAGGTATATATGATTATGAGCATAGTGGATGAGTCAATTTGAATTAAGATTGGATTAGTCTGGACTGAACCGAGGTGTAGCAGATGTCAACTTCCGACAGTTTGAACCAAGTGGAGCCAGAGCAAGTTAGAATGCGTTTGAGGATGGAACCATTTGGCATGTTTACAGGCCTGACTCATTCAATAATTCACACTAAGCAGCCTTTTAAAAATGACTTTTTGCCTAGTAATTTGATGTCCACCATGAAAGTTATTTATCAAACCAGACTATTACTCTTAGTACATTCTTTGCTTGTTAAAAACATATAGGGTGTTTTTAATAATTCCTGTTAGGCATGGGAGATTTTGGGTGTAAGTAAGTGGGAATACCATCAGGCTTTATGTGTATAGATATGTAAATGTATTGAGTATATATGTCGGTAGATGTGATAAATCTAAAAAGGGTTTGAACTAAGGGTTTGTTGTGTTGTTGATGATGATAGGTTTGGACAGCCACGGTTAAAGAGTAAATGTGCAGTAGAGAGGTTAGCCATTATTTATATATATATATATATATAAATGTGTGTGTGTGTGTGTGTGTATATATTGAGCATGTGACAAATCTTAAATCAGGAAGGCAAGTGTCAGTGATCATCTACTTTTTTTCATTTGGATTCATTGATTCACATTTTTGAGTTGCTATCCACTAGTGAAGTGTCATTTGATGGGAACAAACCCTTTGCCAGCCGCCCCTTTTAGTTATAGTGGAGAGGGAGTCCCACCCAGGCCTGAAACCTGAATATTTAGATTAAGTGGAAAATAAAAATCACTTAATATTAAAATATATGAATTGTTGTAAGTAAAAAATTATAAAAACAGAGTGGGATTATATATATATATATATATATATTATATTATATGACAATGGTGGGATCCACATGTAGGGCCCACTTGATCTCAAGCTTGTGTCTGTTATGCAGGCTGTGGTATTATCATTTGGACGTGGAAAAGAAAGAAAGAAAGAAAGAAAGAAAGGTGAATGAAATTTGATTCCTAATTTATAATAATCAAATCAAATCAAACAATCCTAACAATTTAGTGATTAGACCACAAGTTTTAATCTAACAAAAAACAATAAATTTTCGTAATTTTTACCTAACCTATTACGAGTTTATAATTCATTAATGCACTAGTAGAAGTAGAGTTATCAAATTATGTCAAGGTCTAACGAATCTATTATAAAATTTAATGTAGTAAAAATGATAACTTAATTCGCTAATGCACTGGTAGAGTTGCGGTAATCAAATTAGGTTAAATTCTAACGAATAAAATTTTTTTTGTTAAGATAAACATAACATTTATATTCTCTCGTTTTAGAACGGTAATAAACGAATTTCAATCTAATTTTTTTTTAAAAAATAAAAGAATCGAATCGAATCAAATCACATAATGTTTGGAATTGATGGGGCCATGGAGCTGCTGTTTTGAAGATTCATGCTGTCTCCTCCTATCCTATCCTTTACCAGAAAGTCCAATTATTTCCACTAGCCAATTTTTTTAGTTTAACTCTTGTTTGCATTATGAGGGAGGGAGGTTTTCTTTTTTGGTGCTCAAATTTCTTTAAGAATCAGAATTTTGTTTTGTCACTCTTCTGGGATCTGATAGATTAAAGAAGAAGAAGAAGAAGAAGAAGAAGAAGATCAAAGCATTATAAAATTACGCAGAGGATTTTGCTTGTTTTGGTCAGATGATCTAATTCTATAAAACAGAATAAATTCGAAAATTACAACACATGTCGTTCTCTCTACGATTTATACCATGAACTCATCAAATTATTCTTTATATTTTGTATCTTTCTTTAATTGGACTTACAGTTGAGCTCAGGCCAATTTCACTTTCAAAAGTGAAATCTCTTCTTTTTCATCTACCAATCCTCTCTCTCTCTCTCTCTCTCTCTCTCTGTCTATACATATATATATACACATATGTATGTATATGTATATAATTACAGTTTCCTCTTTTGGCTGCAACTGCATAAATTAGTTGAGCACCAAACATACTGTATAATTGGGAGGTAAGTTTGACAAAACTTTTTGGTAAATGACTTTTTAGTTCCTTTTTACGTGAATATAAAATAAGTAAATAGTTTATGAATGAAAAAACAAAAGTACAGACAGATTCTAATTTATATATATTTTTTTATTTATAAGAGTGTAGTTTCCCATTTTATTATAATTTTAGGTGTATACAAATATATTATTGTTTGCGTCATCATTAATACATACGGTGTCAATTAATTATTAAAATATATAAATTTTATTTAAATAAAAAAATAAAATCTACCCTCAAAACCATAATCGCTATTTATCATATTTTTATGCATACTTCTTCCGATTAATTTATGTCGTATTCTATTCTTATAAGATGGTATATGTTGGTTAAGAGTTCCTCTGCTGCCACATCATACACGTATTGAGAACATAAATAATTATAACCATATACATATAAAACTATAGTAATAAAATGCCAATTCTCGAACTTTATTTATAAATTATCTACAGCTCGTGTTTGACTAGCCAAACAGTGCTAATAGAGAGATCATATGTTCATCGAAAAACTAATAAAAATATCAAATTACATTACCACTTAAGAAGAGCTTTATGTAATTTAGTTTGTAAGAACAGCAGAATACATGATGTTGGTATCGTCGAGTAAATTATTATAATAATGATATAAATTCACTATAAAAAGATGGTGCCTGCCTTGGTGGCACCATTGTAGGACCCTGTAAGTACAACAAGAAGGCACTGAGGGAAGGAGGGGTCCGATGAGTGCGACCGGCATTAGTGAAAAGTGGATGCACCGCTAGCTCAAGTATTGAACAAAAAGATTAGAATCTTCTGGCCTTAGTGGAGATTAAAAGAGAAGCTTATCCCATTTTTCCTGTTTAATTTTCACGTGGGATCTCTCTTGCATTACACATACATACATACATACACATGTATATATAAAGTCTAGGGCAAAACAGATGACCCACATAAAAATTTGTAAAGGGAATGGGACGTAGTTGAGCTTGGCCAAACACAAAAAGCAAAGAGAGATGTTTTATTCCTTTTCAAAATTTCTTCATTCTCATGATAATTAACTCATATGATTGATTATTGGAGTTTCTGAAAGTACACAACAACAACAATTGAGGCGCTCATATTTTCTCCATTGGACTTATTATTTCACATTCCTCATGCTTTACTATAAATGAATTCATTAAATTTAACTAAAATTATATACTCATATCAAACTTTACGTTATTAATTTGATTGTTAATTTAAAAGGTAAATATTTACGATCAATTTTTTTATTTATTAAAACCCATATTTTTTTTTACCTGTTTTTGTATTCTTACCGTATACAAATTATTCACGTAAAATAAAAAATATTTATGATATATTTTCAAAATTTTTACTCAAATGAATCCAATCATAAATAAAAGATTCAATCAAATATAAAAAAAAATTAAAAATAATAAATTATATTCTAATCGTGAGATTGAGTTAAGAAGAATCGTTCGTTCTCAAATTAAGTGTTTAAAAAAATTAGTCAATGGCAAAAAATTGAGTCTTAAATTTTTTTTTTTAATCATAATGTAATTCACACAATTTTTTTTATAGTTAAAATAGATGTAAATTTACAAATAAATTTTGCTTTATTTTTAAATTTATTCCCAAAATAGTCTTATAGATTAGAAAAGGATAAAATCTATATGTATTTACATGGATTCTGACTCTGCCATGAACACATGCATGACCTCATAGATTTGAAGATGTGACTGCAGATGCTTACCCATTAAAGTCCTTAGCTTCAAGCTTAAAAGCTTATGACTTTTTTTTTTAGTTTTACTGTTGTTGCATGAAGCAGCTTTTCTCAAACGCAGAAGCTGTGAGCATAAGCTATAGTAATATCACAAACCTGAGACACTGAGATTTTCATGATCATAATTAATTTAGATATTATATTAAATAATTGATTATATTGGTGCAAAATGATTTGAAATTTATCGTTTGTATGTTTATCAATTTTAAAATAAAATCTACATATAAAGTTTATGTAAGAAAATTTGATTCGGAAGTTATTTTCTATTAATTTTAACACATTTTAAGAAAATAAAAAATATCAGAAAATTAGAACTATATATTATTCGAAAATGATGTAGTCATAACATGGTTAAAAAACCTATTGATAAAAATTTTAATTTTCTGACACACTTTTTCTTTTTATGTAAATAACTTTAATTGATAGAAAACACTTTGAAAGGAGAATTTGTGTTCTTTTTATAAATTAAATAAGAGATCAAAACACATTCAAAGTAATTGAATGTGTCGATAACTGTTTCTATTATTATAGTTTAATAACTATAAAATACAATAATTATATAATTTATTTTAATATTACCCACTTCATCAAAGTACTTTTTTTCTTCATATTCATTATCTATTATTTTAAATTTTCTTTAAGTTGGCTTCAACCGTTATAAGTAGATGAGAAAAATAAAATATTATATTAGTAGTTCATCGACTTAATTGGTGAAATTAACAATTTATTCTTTTAAAATATAACCTTACTAAATAGTTTATATCATTTTGGTAATTGTAAATCCAATGTTATACTTCTAAGTAAATCTTAAAAAGTTACTGGAACTTATTAATTAGAATTCTTAATTACTAAGACAAAAAAAAATGATATTAAATAAAATTTTGTGTAAAATTAAAACATTGAATTTCAAAAAATCTTTAATATAATTTGCATAATAATAATTTTAAAATTATTTATAGTTTTTTAGTAAAACTTTAAATGAATTAATTATAATTTTAGTTAATAAATAAAAAATTAAAGATATGATTAAATGGTTTTTGCAACGCCGTTCGTTCCCAAACATAACCCCGTTATGTCCCCCAACAACCACCCCTAGCGTGGACTTTCTTTATGGATCGTGCCCCACTTTATATGTAATGCCATTATTGTTGTTGTATAAGACTTTGTACTCGCAATAAAATAATATTTCCTTTCTTATATTTATATACATTACGCAACATTTGATTTATACTATAAAGTATATTAAATATATAATTAAATATTTTATTGAATGAATTGACATTAATAATAAATAATAAAATGTGAGTAATTATGCTTTAGAATAAAATATGATTCATACTAAATGACTTTTTTTTTTTATGTTAAAAAATAATATAAACTTATATTATCGTTATATATATATACTATAGAAAAGATGTCACTCTACTTTTTTTATTATGATATTCTAATTTAAGAGAAGAAAAAATTATGACAACTCTAATTTTTTCAAAAATAAAATTT